ATGAGACGCTGAGTGGAAACACTGAACAAATGCTTGAATTATAACTGAATTCTACGGACAGCCCTACATTTTTATCTCCAAATGCAGGTGTCTTCAAGCATACAGGCAGTACTTGTCATGAAGTTACATGACAAGGATTTTTGGGCAGAGACCCATCGGGCAATCCCACACAGAAGAGCAGAAGAAGTTCTTTGACTGCTCTTAGGTTGACAAGCCAAGAAAGACTTGCAAACTCTCCCAGCCCTTAAGGAGGACACTCCAACCACATACTTGAAAATATCAAGGCATAAGGCTGTTCTAAATTTTTGTATTTTTGAAAATCCCATTCACCTTTCAAGCTACTCCAGGAAAAGTCATGGACGCAGATCTTGCAGCCCTTAGGATTCTAGTTCTGCCCAGAGCCAAGACCTGGAAAAGCAAAGAACCTAACTAGGTAGCAGAGCTTTCTTCATGGCAGATCCCTTTAAGGGAGGATGAAACTCCTCAACTTCTAATCTCTACTCTCTGACTATCAGTAATCTCTGACTCCCTGTTTTTAAGGAAAAAAAAAATAGTACAGACAAGTAACAGAAGACCAATGCTAAGGTCATCCAGAGCATAAACTTAATCTCCTGCTTTTTTTCCTCCTTCTGATCTTCTAAATCCTTGATTTGCAATTCCTTCCCATAGCCAGACAAACCACAAATGTATCATACATTATGCATCTGATGTGTCACTCAAAAATTACGTGTGAATCTGAATTTGGCAAATTGAATCATACTTTAAAATGCTATTGAAGGCAATTCCATGGTGAATAATCTTTTTGAAAAGTAAGCATCCATCTAGAAGAAGCTGGAATCATGTATACATTTCTTAATTTTTATTTGTGTATTAGGATCTTACCATGTACAGAGTTCTGTATCACAGTCACATAGCCTATCTTTTCCTGGGAATTTACCTTACTGCTTCAAGAAGACCTAGAACAAGTTATTTTCACACACAAAAAAACTGAGAATAGGAAAACTTTTGCTATTTTACTAGTTCTAAAATATGCTTTTTTATATTTAAAAAATTTTGGAATCTGAAGATATGTTATAATTGATGGCATCCTCCCAGGCTGTCCTCTAGACTGTGGTGGAGACAGAGTTGCCACTGCCTCTTGATGCAAGCTGTTCCCATTTGTCGTCCTTTCAGTTATGAGCCATTTAGAACTACATGCGTTGACTTTATTTGCTGTTTAAAATGTGTCCAAAGGATCACAGTATGATACAGAATTGAAACTTAAAATGATTTTAGGACACATGTATACAAGTATACACATGGAAACAGCAATGGGTATGAATTTATAAACAGTGAAGCATATACTTCTCATTGGAGGAACATTCCCTGCTCTATATTGTCTTGTAAAGTAACAGCCATGTGTTAAGTGATGAGAAAACTGTATGTCATACTTCATTTGGCAGTATTTTCCTTAGTAGTATAAAAATAATGGTGTATTTTATAAAAAGATGGTGACTTAGACTCAGTAACATACATTAAGTATGTAGCCTCTACTCTGGGCCAAGAAGTACACTAAGTGCCCGTCCATATGCTGGTTCATTCTACCCTCGCAGCAACGGCAGATTTTGGTAGATAGTATTTATATTGCACAAATAACCCCTTACCCAATTACCATGTCTAGTGAATCCGAACAAGAAACAAAGTATTTGCTTAGCTCCCCCCATAGCTAGGGAAATTTCCAAGATGCCAGAACATTTTGTCAGAGTTTATAAGATCAGCTCCTGCCACTCTATCCCCCACTCACTCCTTCCCACCCAGTGATCAGAACAAGATGCTAGAGTTTATCCCTCAGGCTAATGACCAAATCTCCTGTGTGGCCTTGGGAAAGTCCTATCCTGACCATAACTAACTATCTTCTCTCTGCTCTTCAATTATCACCTTCCAAGATATATAAACCCAAAATGCAGGCAGGGCTCAGGATTTTTTTTTTGCAACAGCCTAAGGCACAAGTCTTCTTTATTTTAGACAAACAAATACAAAGTTCTGTGTTCCACCTTCCTTATGACCTGGTCACCCAACTCTGCCATGTGTTTCCATTGTCAACCTCATCCCAACAGTCCCAGGAAAAACAAAAGTGAAGCAAACACACAAAATCCTACAGATGGGAGGAACTGGAAACCAACTCTATCATCCTCAGGTTATAGAAATTAGTCCTCTAAGTTAGGAAGGAAGCAAAATGACAAGTTGGGAATACAAGTTAAAAGCCTACTCTGGATGTGATGAACTGGAAACAACTGATGCAGGAGAGGAAGAGGAAGAGTGAAAGGCCTTAATTTCACAATTTTAGCTTTATTCACCCACTGCATTCTACTCAATAGAATCAAATTCATGAAGGATGCTCTTATTCCATTCTAATCGCCAATTTCGTAAAACTCTGTTGGGCTTTGGAGCAGATAATCACAAGGGAACTGAATCTCTTTTCCAAAGAGACACAGTCAGGCAAGCTCTCAGGATTTTGGTTTAAAATAGAATTTAGTTCCTGATGAGAAACACCTAAACAAGAAACCTAACTCACTGAAATACATATTAACCAAAAACAAAATTAACATAACACAAGATAACAACTGACATTTACTTGGGAAAATAAAAACAAAGCAATGAATTCACTTTGTTCCTATACTATAATTTTCTATGGACATGAGACTACACTAATTATGTACACAGGCTAATTTAAAAATACCATATGCCAAGATTTTTATGTGCCATCAATATTAAATTAAAAATTAACTTGCTGAGAGTGTTGCTCCAATGGCTGTGTGCCTGGCTGCACAAGTCCCTGAGTTCAAACCCCACTTCCACCAAAGGAGGAAAAAAAGAAAATTTAAGACCCCCTTTCGGCTGGTGGAGTGGCTCAAGTAGTAATAGTGCCTGTCTAACAAGTGAAAGGTCCTGAATTCAAACCCCAGTGCCACAAAAAAAAAAAAGTTAACTCATTACTAGATTTTATCTCTTCAAAACAAAAAACTAAAAAACATTTTTTATTAGGGTGGTTTAGATTCAACATTAATTCATTTTTAGACTTCACCTCATAAGCCAGTGGCTCACAATCGTACTTCTCCACTGATGCAAGAAAGGAGCTAGGTCAGGCGGTCAGCCACAACAGGCAGCAGGGGAACACAGGTCTGAGATAATAGGAACATATCAGTATAACTGGAAAGAAGCACCAAATATGAGAATGGTACCAAAATTTCAAGTCTAAACAAAGAACAGGATAGAGAGGGGCAATAAAAAAGCTAGGAAATATGGGAAAAGGTGGCCCCAGGACAGTCATGAAGAATAAGGTTCTGTTGAACCTGCTGAGTCTGATGTGCACATATGATGCCAATAGGGGCATATATGGGAAGCCAGAAGAGACTAGTGTGCACTTTAATTGAAAAGTCCCAAATGAACACAGATGTGGATGCTACTATCTTAAGAAGGAACAGCAGAAATCATAAGAACAATTGTGGTAATACCAATCACCAAGATAAAGCACGTAGGGAGATGAAGAAAATCCAGCAGAGACCCAAACCTAAGGTAGTTATCAATAGGAGGACAGAAAAAGAAGTCTGTGAAGAAGGCTAAAATGGAGCATATCAGAGAGGAAGGACAAAACAAGAGAGTACCAAGTTCTGTGTTACAGACAACACCTGCATCAAATATCAAGAATGAGGAAGCAGTAAACGGATGTAGGCTACTGGACCTGGGCAGTTTGTTATTGTGTCAAGACAGAAAACAACAAGGCAAGAAATGAAAGAAAAAAAAAAGAAAAAGAAAAAGAAAAAGGGAGTGGAGGGGAAAGAAAAGAAGGAAAAGGGGATAAGGAAAGGAAAGAAAAGAAAAGAAGAGACTGACTTAATAAAGCCTGAGGATACTGGGGGAAAAGGAAAAAGATTATTAACTTGAGGGATAACATGGCAAAGGAATGAACCAATATTAATTTTGTCAACCAGCAGCATCACATGAAGAGAAAAGGCTTCAAGCTTATCTGGCAACTTGAGGGATAACATGGCAAAGGAATGAACCAATATTAATTTTGTCAACCAGCAGCATCACATGAAGAGAAAAGGCTTCAAGCTTATCTGGCACAAACATTATGAAAATCCAGAAACACATCATCATTCTGCCCTTTAAATAGCCCCCTGCCCTTTATTTTCCATCTCTACAGTACACAAATATACACACGCATGCTCATTCTCTCCCTCCCTCCCTCCTTCCTTCTCTTTCTCCCCTTCTCCCCCCACCCAAGTGATAAGTGACTTTCCTAATACAGATACAAAAAGTGGATCAACATTTAATTAAAAGTGTGGTCCCAAAAGTGAAATGCCATAAACTATACATTTGGAAATAACTCTTACAAACTTTATGTCAATATCTTATCTCTTACCAATGGGAGGAGGAAAGAGGTGGGGAAAGGTAAAGGAGGGTGAATATGGTGCGAATATTGTGTACACATGAATGTAAATGGAAAATGATGTCTGTTGAAACTATTCCAGGAATGGGGGAAGGAGGGTATGAAGGAGAATAGTGGAGGGGGTACATTCAGGTATGATATATTTGATATATTGTAAGAACTTTCATAAGTGCCACAATGTATCCTCACCCAGCACAACAACAAAAACACAGGAAAGAAATTAAAAAGAGATTATCTGTTAAATTTTTTAATGCCTTGCAGCTTTTATAACTTTGGTGATCTAAATTTGGTACTAACATTGGTCATTAGAGAAAAAAATGCATGCATAAAATATAATTAAGCTATAGTTAATACCAGAGATGTACTGAAAATGTCTGCAAAGCATTTATACTGTGTTACTAAACAATCCTTAAAACTTCCCAAAAACTAAAGATCCTTTCCATGCATCAATGCTCTTGTATACATAGTGTCTTAGCATATGCTTTGTTTCCCTAAAGATACTGCTTTTAATCACTAAATGACTGACAGGGTTGTAGTTATGAAAAATGGTCATGAAAACAGCAAATACCTGAGGTACTCACAGCTGTGGAGTAGGGATTATGAGCTCCAGTATTTTCAGCCCAGCAGCCACATCCATAAAGAGCAGCCTGGGAAAAAAAAAAACATAATACAGATACACACACATATATGCAAAATATTTCTGAAATAACATATGTAATTACTATCTAAAAATTCTCAGAACAAACTCCTAGCTTTCAACAGAAAACAAATGTCACATCCATCTAACAAAGCCTGGTTTATAATGATGTATAGCACCTAGGTGATAATATCAGAAATTGTATAAGAACTACTCGAGCAATGGTTTTAACACTCTTGAAACTATTTTCTTCTAACTATTTTGAGACGTACAATGCATTACCATTAACTATATTATTCTGCTGTGCCATAGAACACCAGAACTTATTCCTCCTAACAATAACACTATGCTTGTTGACTAACCTCTCTCATCCCTCTCCTCCCTACTTTCCCCAATCTCTGGTAACCCCAATGTATACATAAAGAAAAACATCACATTATACCCCATAAGTATATACAAAGTAATATGTCAATCAAAAAGAAGTTTAAAAAATATTTTCAACTATTCAACTAATCTAAAAATTCTCAGAAAATAGCAAAAGAAAGTTTTTTAGTGCCATCAACAAGTTTTTTCCTTCCCTGAAAAATAACTCTTCCCTTTTGTAGTCTGTCAGTTAGTTGCTGTTCTAGCACCGTGAAATCAAAGTGCCTGCCTTAAGGAAATAGAGGCTCTCAATCTAGGGAGCGTGCTGAATTTCTTGGGAAACTTGCTGATAAGAACACTAGTTACTAGAGATTCTCATTCAGTTCTGGTGGAGGCCTGAGAATTGACACTATTTACCAGGGCTTTGGAGTCCTGGGATGCAAGTAGTGTTCTTAACCATCCTGGGAATCCCTGCTTTAGGAGGACTTTTTATTGCCCCCTTTGGGGTAGCACAATAGAAAACACAAAGGGTTCTATACCAAAAGGCCCAGTATATGTTCACCACTGTGCTAGATTTTCCATGTGAAAAAATAGGAGGCAGAAAGGTCTGTTCAAGCTAGTCACTTTATTAGGTGGTAGAGCAAATATATACCTCTGAAACCACCAAAAACACAATAAACTACTATGGTTTTATAAAAGATTAGGATGATAATGCCTATTTTGTTTCCAATCCCCTCAATATTCACAATGAGTTCTCTGTTTTTGAGAGGGGGAATCATAACTAATAACTTTTCCACCCCTTAGTTAGAAGCAGTCAGAAAAGTCCTTAGATAGCTATCATAGAGAAATCCAAGGAAGCATGATCAAGAGTTCACTACCAATGACCGATAAGGATGAGAAAATGGAGGGGGGTATGAATCTAAATGTCAATCAGTAAAGAAATGGCTAAAAAAGGTCTGGCAGAGCAATACATAGAACTCATAGCAAAGGTTAAAAGAAAGAATTAAGTTTTTAAGAACTCTTTAGGAATGAATACAGAAAAATCTACAAAATCTACTATTGAACAGTTTTAAAAAAACAAAAACAAGGAACAATACACTCAGTAATTATTACCACTGATACACTGATAAAACAGTACTATTATGTCCAAGGAGCTGAGGACACAGAACAGACTAAGACTAGGAATGGTGACCACAAAAATTTCAGCTTTCTATGATATTCTATTATATTTTTACAGAGATCTTAGAACACAGTTATTTCAATATTCTACCAAAAGTAGAAATCTAAATGAAGCATACGAAGCACTTCTCATACTGAGAATCTCATTATCTCACATGTGAACATATTCCCCTGTAAGACTTTTCCCACTGGTGGAAAGTTCTTTGTTAGATTGAGAAAATACCTGCTTTATTATAACTTCCACCCACTAGTCCATGTTGTACTCTCTGAAAATACTTTAACCTCCCCCATAAAGCCCTCTACATTTTTTAAACAGCTTTAGCAGTCCTCTTTTCTCAGCTAAGAAAAAAATCCCAGCTTTGTAAACTATTCCCAAAGACATTCAGATGCAAAAAAACCCACCCTACTCCCCTAATCACTTTCTTTAAGAAATAATGCAGACCCCAGGATATTTATACATGAAGTCCCCAGGTTCATGTGACCCATAGTTGTCACTTTCACTTGTCACTAACATCTTCAAAACAGAACCAAGAACTGAACAGGACATTTCTAATATGGCAGACAGTAGGAAGTCTTTCATTAGCTTTTGAAAACACTAAGCTTCTGGGCCATGCATGGGGTAACAACCTCTAATCCCAGCATCAGAAAAGGCAGAGAAAGGAGGATTAAGGTTCGGGGCCAATCCGGGCAAAAGTCTGCAAGGGCACGTTTCAAAAATAAGCCAGGCATGGTGATGCATGCCTATGGTCCCAGCTACATGGGAGGTAAAAGGATCTTGTTGTGAGGGCAGCCCAGGCAAAAGCACAAGACCCTATCTGAAAAAAAACATGCTAAAAGTGAAAGGACTGGGTGCATAGCTCAAATGGTAGAACACTCGCCTAGCAAGCTCAAGGCCCTGAGTTCAATCCCCAGTACTGCCAAAAAGAAAAAGAAATAAACACTACATTTCTATAAAGCATATGACTTTGTTTTGTTTCCTAATGCTGCTAGATCAGAATAGCAACTGAAAGCCCATCAGAAGTGATTCAATATATGGATTTCAGAATAAAACTGGGAGATCTGGATGATCAGCCATTCAACTGGTACTCTGGTTAGGGGCAGGTGCTGAGCCAGCTGAAGACTTAAGAGAACATACAACCTCAATGGAAGGGCCCATCTTCCTTCATTGAAAACGCTCAATATTTGTTCATCATCCTTTCTGTTCCCTACAATTACCTTGACCAGGGGTTCCTGCACACAAGAAAATAATAAAGAAGATCACAAGGATAGATCTTAAAAAGGCAGTGGAAGTCATCTTCCTAGGAAAGTAAGAACATTTATGCCTACCATTTGTTTCTTCTCTCTCCCTTATTGATACCCTCCCTTAATTTCATAATCTAAAGTTGTCTTCTTTTTCTTTTTTTTTTTTTTTTGGCATTACTGCAATTTGAATTCTGGACCTTACACTTGCTAGGCAAGCACTCTACCACATGAGCCACACTGTCAGTCCTTTTTATGTTGGGTATTTTCAAGATAAGATCTCACATACTATTTGCCTGAGCTGGTTTCAAATCATGATCCTCCTGATCTCTGCCTCCTGAGTAGTTAGGATTACAGACGTAAATCACTGCCTCCTGGCTAGCTGTCTTCTTTCTTAACCTTCTAAAATTGGTTAGATTGAGATAGTAATAGGTAAGAAAAAATAAAACACCAGAGTTTCTGCCTCTCTTATCTACTTCTTTTAGGTAAAATACAAAAAGTTTAAGCAGGTCTTTTAAAACATTTTTTAAAAGCCGCCCTTTTTTTGGTAGTAAAATTTTTTAAAGATATTATCATGCTTATCATGTAATAAAAGTAGATCATATAAGTGACATTAATTAACCTTCTCTAGGCCATTGTTTCCTCTTCTGTAAGATGATGATAATAAAAAGACCCACCCGCCAGGGTGCTGGTCTCAGGTCTGTAATCCTAGCTACTCAGAAGGCAGACATTAGGAAGATCAAGGCCCTAGGAAGATAGTTCACAAGACCCTATCTCAAAAAAACCCATCACAAAAAAGTGCTGGCAGAGCAGTTCAAATGGTAGAGCACCTGCCTAGCAAGCATGAAGCCCTGAGTTCAAACCCAAGTGTCACAAAAAAATAAATAAATGAAATATATATATATCTTCTACCCTACAGTATTGCCATAGGATCCACATGAATTAATACACTTATTGCACACAGCAAGTGCTTAATAAATGGTTGTTATAGCTATTGTAATGAGGAATTATGATATTCTATTTAAATTCATGGTGTGTCAATTATCTTCTAGAACTTGTAAGCTAGCTAGTATCTTCATTTTACATTCATGGAAAGTGGAGGTTAAAGATGTTGAGTAACTTATTCAAAGTAAGGGGAATTATAAGTGGGGAGGTAGGATTAGAATAAAGATGTATCTTAATCTGAAGTCCACATTCTTGACCACTAAAGTCAACTGTGTGTTTATGTGTAGGTAGAATAAGGGTTGAGAGGGAGTAGAATATAATTGCTTTCTAGTGTCCAAGCAGTAGATTCTAGTTATTATAGTAAGCTAAAACAGAAAATAAATTCTAATTCAAATTGCCATTTAGTCATCTATACTAATCACCTACATAGAGCAGAATAACAGGCTAAAGTTTTTAAATAGCTTATACAAGCATTTAAAGTGCATAAAAAAGCATCTCACTTCAAGACATTTTTAAAAAATTAGCCTTTGAAACAACTTGCTTTTGCATTTTGTCAAAACTATTCTTTGCCCTCATCTGACTCTTCATATTTCCAAGCTTATTACATCTCAGTTATCCAGCAATTGCAACTGCATTTTGCTGTAATCACCTTGACTCCTATCCTCCATTACCATTTTATAATTTTTCAGCTCTCACAAGATGGGTATTTATAAACTAGCCAAGTGGATCAAATCAACATATAAATTTTACAGAAGTATTTCTTTTTCCAGGATAATCCCTTATGTGGTGGCAGAATGGCTTCAAGATGGTTAGATGCAATATCCTGCTAATGTAGTCCAGAGCTAGCCTTGGGTCTGTTGTTGCTATTTTGCTAACCAAAACAAACAAAAAACAGTGAGAAACTTATGGGAATTACAAGGTAATGAAGGCAAGTCTGCTGGATCTTCTCTCTCCTCCTACAGGGTATCCAAATCTGATATGCCAACCTTGATTTTCAAACTTGACAAATACACTAGGTTTTAAAATGTGAAAAAATACCATGACCAGAAAAAGGATTTTACAATGAGTTCAAAGCACTATATACATGTTTAATACTCATTCCTTATAAATTCCCTATATGACAGGCAAAGATCAGCACAAAATGAGTTACTCTTCCCTTTAGCTTCCCCTAGATTAGGACTACAAGTGGCTTGTCCACATGAAGAGAAGATCAGGAAAAGTCACTGCAGGCTTTGCAAAGATATGTTCCTTCCATGAATCAGACACATCTCTAAGCATTTGCTA